GACTATCCTAAATTAATATTATGAACATTTTAACCTAAAAAGATTTAAATTCTGATAAATATTGAAAACCCACTAAATCGATACGTGAAACACTATGGAAGAATATGAAAATCATGATAGAGATGTATAAACACAAAATACATGAAGCACACAAGACACACAGAACACATGTGAAGCACATATAAAGCACATGATAGAGATGTATGTGACAACCTGTCCTTAACTTTACGATTTTATAAATTTTAAAAATGTGAATTGACGAAAATGCCTTGGGAAGCAAGAATTTTGATTTTTCGTTGACCATTGTTTAGAGATGTATGATTCATTATTTTCCCATTTCCTTGTAGTACTCGACAATACGAATGCGTATGCACAAACAAAATCGAATTTGAAGCTATAACGGAGATTTTATGGACTTACGAAGTTCAAGGGCATTTTGGTGAATTCATTATTTTGGATTAACACCCTTCATCATTTTATTAATTTTTCTGTGTAGATTTTCTACATGGTGGGACCCACTCATGTGGGTCACCTATCACCCTTGTCCCTGTGTCTTTCCTTCCCATTCTCCCGTGTTTCCCTTTCTCTTAAGCCACCATACATTGGCTACCATCTTACCCTACCACACTTTCACTCTAACTCTCCCCATCTCTCCTTCAGCTCTCTCTCCTCTCCCGATACCTCTCTCTCCTTTAACTATTTCATTCATCTATGACACGACAACGGCAGGACCATCACCAGTCATCGTCATCTCCGGCGAGATCGACCCAAACCAACATCTGGACCTTCTATCTTTCCTTCTCATTAGTCTCTTTTGCACGCATTATGTGCTCATGACTAGGGAGTTGGACTCCATTTGAATCTGAGAGGATTTCGGCAAGGAAATGACAAATCTGACCAAGGTAAGTGTCATGACCACTCGATTTGTCTTCCCCGTCTCATTTTAATGATGATTGAGTCATTATGCATGTGATTTAGCAATGTTTTGGCACAAAAACACCTTGGGTTTCCATATTTTCAAGCATGAGCTCGACAGCTTTGAGTCGTTTTCCCGCTAACTCCGGTCACGGCCGAGGAAACCAAAGGTATATTTCAGTCCCTTGTCCTCTGAGCTTTGTTTTGATATATTGGAAGGCTAGGTTTAGTGAAGAAATTAGGTGGCCGGAGCTGGGAATTATCCGACGATTGCAGCAGCAACCCGACGGAGAGAAGAAGAGGAGAAAAAAAAAGGTCGACGTCTCGAGTTCATTTTTGACATCCATTTAGTGAGATTCCAAAGTTTTAATGTAGTTGACTACCAGGGAGTCTCAGTTGACTTTTAAGGTTAACCGTTGACTTTTCACAAAATTTGCCGGAGACCCCTTTTAGTGTAATTCGATGCTCTGATTTCAAATCTGCACTCCATGTTCCCAAATTTAATTGTCTTAGTTAAGTTTTACTATTGGAGAGTCTGGCTTTTCATGTCCGAATGGCTGCCACCTTGCAAGTAACTATGAGTGGGTCTTTTCTTTCTATATATATATATATATATTGGTTAGTTTCCATATATACAATTATTAATAAATTCTCTACGTGATTGCCATGATTAAATTAACGTTTATAAGAAATGCCTTTGTTGGGAAATGATGAAATAACCCTACAGGATGCACAATTAAAGGGATGCCTTAATTATATTTATGGTCAAGGATAGTATGATATTGACTAGAATTGTTGAATGGATGTGGCATGATTATAATTATGTTACTTGCTCATCGTTTGCTACATCGATGTTGGTATTTGCCTGGGCCAGGGCCAATTTTTCATATGTATGTGCACACTGTATGCTCACTTTGGATCCATTGTAGATGCCAGTCTTGTCATAAAGTTGTAATAGGCAACTCTGACTCGTATGTGTTGCGCATAGCGCCAATCTTCGCGTAATTGTAGTACTAAAACGTATATTATTGTTACACCTAGTCTTGTTCATGTCAAAATACCTCTGCATGAACTTGCGTGTCATCATGTATCAATGATCACCCGATATGATTTGTTTCCTTATGCGAGATTATGTGATATTGGTTGTTATATGTTCATTTATGCAATATTGCGACATATGGCAATCTTGTCATTGTGCATGCTACAGTAGGTATTTTCTTACTACATGTAGTATGTATATTTTGTAAACTATACTTGTTTTACGGCAAGGGGTTATTATGTTTTCGAAAAGGTTTTTACGAAACTTTATTTTTAGGCTCATTCACCCTTGTTTTTCACTCCTCCAGGTTCTAGTACCTATGAGACTAGTAGAGCCTGCTGGATATTCATCTTCTTGGAATTGTTGGTGGCCCCCAAAGTGCTCGGATTCGGCGAAGATGCCATCAATCTTGATTGTCTTGGTCGACGGTTCTTCGTTGGCGTATGTGTTCCTTATAAGCTGCACATATGGCTTGTCCAAGTATGTGTCAACCTTGCCCTCTTTCACCAGTTTCTCTAGGTAGTTCCTCAAAGTGTAACAGCTGTCAGTTGTGTGACTAGGACCTCGATGAAATGTGCAGTACTTCGTATGGTCCAACTTGGAAGTATCTCATTTGATTACTTCGATAGCTTGAACCAAGGTTCACTTTTGATGTCACAGAGGATTCTACGGATCGGGATTGAGAACTTTAGAGTAGTTCTTGGGTGTTGGGCCTTCTTTAGTTGTGGATTGGTCTCTATGCTTGGCCTTGTAGAGTGGTGGCGAATATCTTATACATACGAGCATCGTTGTTTCGATAAAGGACCATTGTACTTTGGTAGTGCTTCAAGTGTCTCTCCGGATCTCCATCTCCTTTGAAGGATGTGAAATGTGGCATACTGAACTTACGTGGAGGTTCTGCCTGCTTGATCTCGTCTGTGAAAGGTGACCTGCTTATATTGGTCATGTCCCATCGTTATGTTTTATCGATGACCTTGTAGTGTTGGAAATTGTGCAATCGCTCGGTCAATAGCCTATCTACTTCTTCATGAATTTTCCTTTGTTAGGGTAGGGGAACTCTTGGTTGCCCCCGGTCTTGACCTGCTAGTCTAGGCTGCTCTTTTATGTGTTCAACTAGTTTACACCGCGACAGATGCATATGGTACATTCATAGTAGGCAAGTGAATTTCTCGCAAGCTGCCTGTTGAACTTAAGCCGGATTGAGTGACTACTTCTTTTCGTCCGTCATGCTACCTACTTTGATGTGAGATGGATGATGCTCCTTGCGGGCCTAATTGCGAATGAACACTTCACCTAAAAGGTTGTTCATGTTGATTATCGGAGTGTGGTCCCAACCGTGAGTGTATGCTCACTCGTGGGCCTAGCAAAAAGTGCACACTCCTCTGCGCATTTAGACGAGAGTATACGCTATCTCGAGGGCCCAGTCGGAAGTGTACACTGCTGAAACGCTCGGTTTGTGGCTGGTCGAGTGGCTGCTAGCTGGGACGCTGGTGGAGAGGTTCTTTGTCTGCCCTTGTCCTACTTCAAGACACCTTGTTTGGGGCACGTTGTTTCACGGTGCGCTACTAGAGTTAATTCACTAAGGTCGTCAGCTATGCAAAGGCACTTGTCAGCTGCATGACTTATTGAGACAATTGTTGTTCGCCATTTGGGTTGGAAGAGCTTGGACGATATGTGTCTCCTTGAGTAGTGGAATTGTAATGGACTCCGAACGCGAGATTTGAGTTGGGAAATGTCAAATATGCGAAGAAATGGGGTGAAAATGCCCCCAGTTCAATCGTCGACCCAGAAATCTAAAGTCGGGATAGTTGAACCGATCTTGGACCGGTTTGGGCTACTTGGGAAACCACGGGAGTGGGCTGGTTTGCATGCAGCACATATAAGTGATGGACTTGGGCTCAGCTCGGGAGCGCGATAGGCTTGCACCAAGTCACGGCTGGGGTTGGCTTGCCTTAGGCATGGGTCCGTATGGGCTGGAGTGACACGGCTTGGCCTTGGGGCTCGTTAGGCTTGCATTGGCCTTAGACCCGCAAGGTCTGGGTTGTTGCCTTGGTAGCTATAGCTGCGGTTTGGGCTTGCTTATACCGGGCTGAGCTAGATTCCTTCATTGCGCGTGCCTAGGCCTATTGCTTCAAGGTGGTATAGGCCTAGGCTTGCAGCTGCAAGGTGAGGCTTCCACCTTGGGCTTGGATCTCGCCTTGAGTTTCCACGATGGGTGTTGTCGTTGGCATAGCCATGGTGGTGCCCCGTGGGTGTGGTGCCACTCCACTCGTCATTGTGCTGAGCCTCGTGGATCGTCGTGGTCGAAATTCTTGAACGTTGGAAGTTCAAGGTTTGTTGTCATCGATTGGGTTCGGGGGAGACGACGATGCTACCTTTCTTGGCAGTTGGGCCCATAACAAAACGATTATGTGGTTTTTGATGAATCTGGATCTTCTTTGTGAAGATCTCGGAGATTCGTGAATTATGTCAATTCATCGTATATCGTGCGATCAGTTTTCCTCAAATATTGTTTGTGTTCATTTTTAAATAATAAAATTTAAAATAACTTCTGATTACACAATCTAAAATGAATGAACAAAACGTGAAACCCCAGGATCCGAAGATAATCCTTATTCGTTTTTTATTTCAAGTAATCACTCATCACGATACGTGGATCAATAATATTATTACACTTCATTTAAAAGCTCTCTCCCAAAGCACTTGCTATCTGTGTAACCAAACACTACCAGACCTCACTCAATTCCTCTCTTCTCACTTCGTCTTCGTCGACCCTGACATCAACCCAAACCCGAACCCAAACCTGCCCAACTTCTTTGGCGAGTCCACCCACAATCCCTCTGTTAAAGAGTCAAGAGTGACAAATGCCATTATTTATTGGGGTCTTTTGATATGAGTCCAAAAAACTAAAAATTAAATCTATTTCAAAAGTTAAAAATTACTAAAAATTAAGCCTATTTCAAAAGTGACTTACAAAATTAGACCTATTTCAAATTTCCCTTATTTTTATTTTTTTGGGCCACTTGTCGGGGCAAATTCAAAAGGTTTTTGGTTGGTGTTTAAAATTTTACCCAGCAAAACCCCCAATTCATTCGACTTCTCTCTCTCGTCTCCTCTCCTGCGTCGCCGGCCGGTTGCTCGCGACTTTACTGCCCGACTTCTCGGTTGGAGGGTTCGTCCTGTATCTCTCTCTGAGGTATCTGATCTCAATTCTTCAAGTTTGCTTCCAATTTTTGCTCTGTTTTTCTTTCGTGATTCTTCTATCTGCTAGATAATGGCTGATAAAATTGGTGTCGAAAACTTTCTTTTTTGGGGAAAGATTGAAACTTTAGGGTACAAATTCAGTTAACTTATTTTACCAAAAAATAGCCTTTTTGGGAAATATTGATATTTTAGGCTACGAATTCAGTTCTTTGATTTGGGTTTTGTGTTCAGGCATGCCTTTGGCCAACCCGGAGAGTTGGGATAAGGCAATGTGTTATCTTTTACTTGAAGAACGTTGACAAGGTTGTAATGGGTATCCGCCCATGTTCAAATCATGTTTCGTTGATTCGGGTTTTCTCCGAAACTCTCTGTTTCTTGTGGAGAAGGGGTATTTTAGAGCGTATTACGCCACTGCATCTGCGCTGTTGACGACAGATGCCCATGTGTGTGAGGAAAACCCATTGCCGGTTGATGCCTATGTGATTCAGGAGATTAAAGCTGTGAGAGAAAGGTCCAGCATTTGGGGAAAGCGGAAACTTTATCCAGTTGTTACCAGAGTGTTTAAATCTTTGGATTGGGAGGTTGCATGGGACCTGAGGTTCTCCAGGTCTGTGAAGCAGTATGGCTTTTCCAATTCTTTAAGTGCATTTAGTGTTATTGTTCATGTCTTTGCATTGGCGGGGATGAAAATGGAAGTGCAGTCTTTGCTCAGTGATATTGTTTGCTATTATCGAGATGCTAAGTATGATGCATTTGGGTTGTTCCCATATTTATTTGATTCACCTCACAATGGGGTGAGAACTCTTGTATTTGATGCCCTCATTATGACTTTTGCTGCCAACTCGATGCTTGAGAATGCTGTCGATGTTTTTGTGCAGACCAAAAACATGCAGCTTGAACCACACATTGGGTCTTGTAATTTTTTGCTCAAGTGTTTGGCTGAAGCAAACAAATTGGAATCTGTTAGAAGTTTATTCGAATGTTTAAGAAAGTATGGTCCTTCACCTAATGTTTACAGTTACACTATTATGATGAACTTTTACTGCCAAGGACATGAAGGGAAGGGTGTAGATATAGATGAAGCGACTGACATTCTTCAGGAAATGGAGAAGAGTGGGAAACAACCAACTGTTGTGATATACACCAAATATATTCATGCACTTTGTAACGTTGGATGGGTTGAGTTTGCTTTGGACTTTATTCGGAACTTGAGATGCAGAAATCAACCTCTTAATAGTTACTGTTATAACGCCATACTTTTTGGTTTTTGCCAAAATGGCAAAACATATGAAGCTTTGAAGGTTTTGGAAGAAATGAAGACGTATGGGACACTACCAGATGTTTATTGCTATACCATTTTGATAGATGGACTTTGCAAGGAAGGAGATATTGAGATTGCTCTCACTTTGTTTGAAGAAATGGAGCATTATAAAATTAAACCGTCTTTAGTTAGCTATAGCTCACTGATATGTGGTCTTTGTAAGATTGGGTTGGTGGATGACTCACTGGATATTTTTCGTGATCTTGTGGCTGATGGGATGCGCCCTGATGCCATCACTTGCACTCTCATTGTTGAAGGGTACTGTAGGGAAGGACGCTTGAAGGAAGCCTTGAAATTTATGTATGAGATGCACAACCAAGGCATAAACCTTAACTCATATACTTATAATGCAGTCATCAAGAGTTTGTGCAAGGAAAGGCAACCCGAAAAAGCATGGGAATTTTTCCCTCAAATGCTCAAGAGGAATATACATCCAGAAGTTGCAAATTATAATACTCTTATGAATGGTTTTGCAAAGAAGTTAAGTACAAAGAAGGCTTTGATTGTGTATAAAGGAATGCTGAAAGTTGGTGTCACGCCCAATGCAGTAACATATACGATCCTTATTAACACATTCTGCAATGGAGGCAAAATGTGTGAAGCTTATAACTTGTTCAAGGAAATGAGTGAAAGGGGTTTGGTTGTGGATGTCATTTCTTACACGTCTCTAATTGCTGGGTTTTATAGAATTGGAGACATGAAGAAGGCATGGGTGTTGTTCAATGAAATGTTGAGGAATAACCATTTGCCCAATGCAATTACTTATACCTGTTTAATAGATGGGTTTTGCAAGTCCTTCCGCATGGATTGTGCCAGCTTCTTGTTTGACGAAATGAAGAGAAAAAATGTTATTCCCGATGCTGTGACTTACACTGTGCTCATGATTGGGTATTTTAGACTTGGGAATATTGATAGAGCAATTCAGTTATTTGGTGAAATGAAGGAGAGGAGTATTTCCCCAGATGTTATTGCCCAGGAAACTATGGGGCTTTATACGGGCACACTTACAAAAGGTTAGGATGCTGAATGAATGATGTTTCAAGGACCACCACATGGTACTGATTAGATTTCTTTCTCTTTCTACAATTTGGTGTCGCCTTGTATCTTGCCATTCTTGTACTTCTGAAATTTTAGCCGATTACATATTTAATCTTATTGGCCTATAACTTTTCTTTTATAGATGCATATTAGCAACTGTTTCTGAACCAGGGAAAGGAATCATATGCCGAAAGAATCTTAAAGGCAAGTTATTTCTTTCAATTTTGTTTTATTTCTGGACCATTTTTCTTTAAATCTGCATGCATGTAACTGTTGTGTGCATTATTTGTGTTTGACTAAAGTTAGTATATGATAATTTTTCAGACTTCTTATAAGTGTTATAAATTCAGTTCTGGGCCAGATCTTGTTAAACATGTAATGATTGGTCATACTTAAATATCAGATGACGTATTCAATAACATATTGGGTACAGGTTGATTCTTTGCAGATGAATGTATTCAATAACCGATTGAAGGACATGTAAACTTGACCTTATTCATAAGCAATTACTTCTTGTTTCTTAGTTTAGGTTGCAGATATGAATATTGTGGAGCTTCATTTATTTGTTTTTGCTGAATTTATCTTAACTGTAATGTATACGGATGTGCTTGTTTCCTGGCCCAAATGTCTGATTTTTTTGTTCTTAAGCAGCTACAGGGGCGTTTAGAAAATTCAGTTGTATGTCTTTGTTTATTTGAACAAACGATACTAACTCATAATTCCAGTTGATATGGAAAGAACAAGTTATCAGTTCAATAATCTATTTAGATTCTACTTTTAAGTATTTCCATGAGAATAGTCCCTGTAATCTTTTTATATGTAATTTGATGCATGAGCATGGACTAATTGTGGAGGGGAAGGTTTGATTAAACCTTAGTGCGACTGGATCATATGTTGTTATCTGCAGGCAGGGCAAACCATACAAGTTAGTGATTTAATGAGAAGCTTCCGTCAAAACAGTTTATTTCCGCAATTTGGGATTCACTAAATAATGCCATTTACATATGGGGAAGATAGAAAATGCTGTTTAGACTTGAACGAAACATGGTGGTGTTAGGTTGCAGGTAATTCTTTATCCCAGTTGGATAAATTCTACCATTGTTATGCATTTTATAGCATAGCTAACTGAATACAATATGATTTTGTACTCAAACTCTTAAGGATATCATAATCTTGATATCCGAAGTTAATATAAAGCGATTCTAAGTTCTAAGTGCAGTATTATTACATTATACATATATATATATATATGTATGTATGTATGTATGTATGTATTATATATCACCAATATTGAGTGGGATTCCTTAAATGCTTCACCAGATTCTTTGGATGTGATGACTGGCAGCTTTAATCATATTTCTGAAGAATAGACTGGTGCTCTAAATCCTCTGAAGATTCCAGCTTTACCCTGTAGTCATCAATGGGTAAACCTCTTCTTGTGCATGTAATGTTGACCATTAATCTGATCTGTCATAAGTTTTCTTCTGCCTTCATATCTTAAGAGGAAGTGGGCTCCACAAACATACTGACCAGACAAAAGTACAATATGAAGTTGCATAACAAAGGGGGAAGATATGAAGAAGAGAAGATAAAAGAGATATGAATTAAACTCAACCGGTCTGATTACATCATAATGCAGGTTCCTATTGGTGGAATCCGCAAAATAATAGACATTAATTGTGAAGTAATCCAAAGGTAAAGACTAACAGAAAAGACGTATCAAAACAAGCATAACCATGAGATAACACATAAACATGTAAGTGGATGAGATTTTTGGCAACACATTCATTCTTTGTTCTTAGAAAGTTTGTAGATTTCTGTTCTTCCATGAGAATAAAATGATTCCCAATTAGGTTGGTTTTGTTGAGTTCTGCCAAACCAGGCTGCACACGAATAGTGTGTGCAGTTTTGTCAACTCCAAACTCTTCTACAATTGTAGAGGAGTGTCATCTTTAGGCTATCCAAGTTAGTAGACCTCGAAATGGCCTGACATTGTTTTGGATCCCTCCAGAAGTGGTAATACTGACCGTCTGGAGATGATGCTTGCCCGTTCGAAGAAGTTTATTCTAGTGGCCGTTTTTTCCCCAGCATTTTGTGATTGCAGCATGTATGTTCCTATTACATTGCTTTCTTGTCTCCCCAAGAAAGCAGCATCAGAAAATCAAATAAAAGATAGTTTTTAAGAGGATCTGTACATAGTGAACTAAAACTCTTTAGTCACTTTAATTGATAAATGACTGCGGCTTCTTATTTTTGTTACTTCAAATGAATGCATCAGTAATTGCCTAAAAATGTCATTATTGCTAGAAGCATTCGTTGGGCTTTCTTAGGATTTGAAGGTATTGACCTCTTCATTCACTTAGGTTGATAATGTCATTTGGGGTTTTTAGTTATGCTATTTTATATACATGCATCATTGTTTGCTTAAACGTTTCGGTTTTTGCCACTTTGCTTGCACTCATATTGCTTTTGAGGTCCTTAGTTGTCGGTGTAAGAGACAGAGTCATAGAGTTATTATTTTAACCAATTCTTCTTTTATGAACTTTTCCCTAAAGAAATATGGCAAAAAATTTGTTGTTTAATGTTTTTTTCAATGTTTATATACATTTTGGTAATTTCATCTATAGTAGAGGAGTAACAGTCGGGGTTCGTGGTGAATCATAGCCATTGATTTATCCACAACTTGTTAATTTTCCATGACACACCCCTACCTTGTGTCTAGGACTATAAATGAAGCCAAGTGCTCAAAGATAAGGAAGAAATGATGGTTTGAGTTGTCTGTCTGACTGTCTTGGATTAGCATTGTAGCACACTTTACAGCATAAGAAAGTTGAGCTCCCTCTTTGCTGTTTGTCTGCTTTGAAATGGTTTATCTTAGAACACAAGTATCATTGTTATGATTTACCATGGAAAATGCGTCTTGAAAGTTTTTTTGCATGCGTGCATTTGCGACTTGCTTTGCACACTAAACCATTTAAGTAAGCTATTTTAATATTTGATACTTTTATAAGATCGTCTTGGAAGGAACTTCACAATTTACATATATCATGGGAAGGTTAAATGGACGGTAACGTTCTCAGAAGCCTGCCAATTTAATTGAGTGGGAAGTGATTCTAATTTTCTACACATCCCTTTCTCCTCTACACTTTTGCTGACTGGACTCGCTCTACACTTTTGCAGCCTTCCGATTGGCGTCGACCTGTGCTTTTGAGATTCGAAAAATGGGAAGAGAGGGATGCAAATAGCATCAGTATTGCAGTAGTTGGTTTCAGGTGGTTTTCGTCAGGTCTCAAAAGGGGAAGCAACCTTAGCATTGTGGACATAGGATGGCACTGCATTTACTTTTGGAGAACCATCCTGGGTTTTGGATACTGGAAGCAGACGCAGTTGGCGACCAGAGTAACTTGAAGCTCAAGGAAAAAGCTTCAAATGGAGAGTGCAGATTCCTTTCTGAGGCTACCATTCGAAGAAAAGATAAGCCTGATTGGTCTTCCTCATTTTTAACTGGTAACATGATTCATCTCATAGCTTTGAAAGTGTTGAAACTAGCAGGTCGTCTAGTTTTCAGTTGATTTTAAAGACTGATAATGTGTTGACTTGGCTCTGAATGGGCGTTTAAGAGGAGGTTTTCTTGATAGCCTGTTCCGAGGTGATTGTTTCGGATTTATGTGGGCTGCAAATTTGAGCACACTAAAACAGTGATGCAGTGCCCCATCTTAACATGTCACTAGCCTTCGTGCATGCGCGTGCATAAGGCATTTTTTGAATCATGGCGTACTACGCGCGACTTACATGTTTTAAATGTATTTATATGCGTAAATTGACAAGAGAAGTCAAATATTTGAAGTAATCATGCTAAAAATAAAATTAAAAAAACCCTCGCAAGCCAAACAAAGCAATTGAATTCTCATAATAAAATTGGTTTTTAAATTTCCATCTACATTCTATTGAATTTATATTAAGAATTGAGAAAATAATGTTTAATAAACAACTTTTTGAATCATATTATTGCTAGCCCATTGTGAGATTAAGCTCACCCCCTCTTAGTGTAAATATCGTTTGTTAAAAAAAAAAACAATTATTTGATAACTGCTTTGGGCTCAGGAAGCTAAGGGAATGAGCTCGGTTGCTTCTCCTCCACACTTATTTTTCTCCATACCCGTTAATTTAATCACATTATTATGCATGTGCAAAAGATCATTCTTATAATCGACATTACATGTCTCTTAAGATGTTTTGAACATGTTTAAAAATAGAGAAAATAATGTTTAATGAACAACTGATTAAATCACATTATAACTAGCCTATAGGAAGGTATTAATTAAAAAAATTATACAAAAGAGAATTAATTATTAAAAAAATATTGTTAAAATGACGACAATACCCTTGCTTTATTTTGGTTTTTTTTGAAATTTTTTATTTTGGGGGTATTTTTGTCCAAAATTTTTCAGTGAAGCTTGTGACCCCAAAAGGGGGTTGTTGGCTTTATATTAGGGGTGGTTCGGTATGGGATACCATACCGAAACTAGTATCCCGAATCCCAAACCGAAATTTTTCGGGACGGGAATTTGAAGACCAATCCCAAACCAAATTTTCGGGAATCCCAAATTTCGGGAATCCCGAAATATTTTCGGGATTTTGGGACAAATCGGGAATCCCAAATTGAAATATAAAATTATGAATTGTTCTTCAAATATATAATTCAAGAACACATTTATGAACTAGGAATTTCATTTCATTCACACTACCATTTAATTGAACACTGGCATGCTTGACTCTTTTTATCATAGTCAAAATTCAAATTAATTAAACTCTTTTTGCAATTTGTTGAGAGACAAAAGAATCAAGCCTTCTGAAATCATCAGTCATGGCAGCAGCAATAATAAAATCCACATGAATATCAAACAGAACATGAAAAATATGCAAGGTGTAGGGCATTCTAGGTTGCTGAGCATGAATTAGAAACTACTAGCATCAATTATAAAAGAATAATATATATATATATATATGTATAAATATATATAATAATTAATATTATATATTTTCGGTTTGGTATGGGATTCCCGAAATATCGAGAAGCCAATCCCGAATCCCATACCGAAATTTTGGGATTGGTTCGGGATAGCATCCCGAAAATTTCGGGAATTTCGGTTTGGGAAATTTTTGGTTTGGGATCGGGATTTTTTCGGTTCGGTTTGGGATTTTCGGGAATTTTTTCCACCCCTACTTTATATATAAAGATTTATCAACACCCAAGAATCATCCTTTAGTTGTAGCTACCTTTCTTGTATTGCATAAGGGGACAATTTGACGTAGGAGCTTATATACAGGAGTAAACGCTCTTTTGTAACACTTGTGCGTCTGTTGCACCAGACTATCTCGGACTGGATTAGCTTAAGAGATTAAGCCGCATTGGCTTGACATGGATTAAGCAGTATTAAAATTGAAAAGCGTTTGGTGTAGTGTCGGACTAGCTAGGACTAAGTTTTTATTTTTTTTATTTTTAATTATGAAAACTTTCACTTTCTTGTCTAAAAAACTAAAATGCACTCTATAAATAAATATTGTAATGAAAAATCCTTTCTTTTTTCAGAATTTATAAATGTGAAAGACAAAAAATAAAAAATAAAAAAATAAAAAAAGAAGTAAAAAAGAAAATATATTGTTATTTGTAAAACCTAGACAAACCACCTTCCTCACGTCTACTTTCCTCACCGCCACTCCAATAGCACAAGCCTCAGACAATTTCTCTCTTTCTCTCTCTCTAGATCTTGCCTAACTAAGTTGGATTTTCTTCTAAAATTTCTGTTTTCTTTCATTACTACAATTCAATTTCTTCAATTTGTATGAACATATGCACGCTTCCTGCCTTTGAACGACAACTCAAAAAACCCAACCCAAAAATCAATCGGCGACTCGAAAACCAAAGACCAAACCCAGGCAAGAAGGACAAAAGGGAGAATGAGAGGGAGAGGACACTGTTTCAGGAGGAAGAGTTTACCGAAAGTGTGGTGAAGGGAAGAAGGATGGTAATCCTAGCTAATACCATGTTGCAGCTCTGGATTAGATGGCGACCCTTGGTGAGGCGGTCAGTCGGAACGAGTCTGACTTAGTCTCATTAATAGCAATCCTTGCTCATGCTAAACATCAGACAATAATCCTACTTAAGCTAGTTTAGTCCAATGAAACCTAACGACGGCAAACAAACATACCCTAAAATCCTTAACGAGAAACCCCTCTGGTCAAATGATTCATAGTTGTCCATTGACGAAACCCCAAAATGAGTTTCCAAGTTTTGCAATCATGCCAAATCAAAGTTTTAAGTAGAGGTGGAATTTTTTGCCAAATTGCCAAACTGTGCCATACCAATTGTGCCAAGTTTTTTGTGTCAATCGGTAGTGGTACGGTATTGTACCGTATCGAAATTTTATGGTACGGTTTTGGTAATAGATACCATTATCATATTATTACCGTACTGTACTGAAAATATAATATATATAATTATATTAACACATATTTATAATATTTCATTGCTTGCTTAATTTGTATAATGAGTATAGGAGGGGCTCTTCTACTATCATTGGGGCTCTATTGGAAGATGTGGAACTAAATGAGGAGTTCATAATTCAAGCTTGTGGGGGTGATGAGAACAAAATTGAAATGATGAAGGAGCTTATACAAGAAAGGAAGGATCAACGCCTTTTGGAGATATTTAATGAAGTTGATAAGTACTATGTCGCTTCTTATATTAGCATTATTGTTGGTGGTTTTGATCTCTTGAGTTGGTGGAAATTAAACACAAAAGAGTTCCCAATATTTTCACAAATAACCAATGATATCTTTGTAATTCCCTTTACCATTGCTAGTGAAAATGCATTTAGCGTAGGGAGGAGGGTTGTGGACCCTTTTAGGGTATCCTTTACTCCTAAAATGGTAGAGGCACTAGTGTATACTAGTGATTAGCTTAGGGCGGATGAAGTAAACTTCTATAAGGAACCAACGAAAGATATGCTTTAATTTTACAAGGAAATGGAAGAAGTGGAAACAAGTAAGATATGTTTAATTTTTTTAGTAAATTTGTTATTAAATGGTTTTCAACTTTAATTCTTCTTGCTACTAATATGTTTTCTTTGTTTGTAATGTAGGCTTGATTCAAACTCAATCTTCTACAAGTTCAATGCCTTCTCCAAAAACTTTGACATCTCAAACTTGAAAAATTGATCAATGGATTTTACTTTTTGAAGTTTAGTTCCAATTTTCATTTGATTTGAAACTTTAACTTCTATTTGGGTTGTAAGCTTAATTTTTATTATGAATCTTGATGCATCATTTGAATTATTGTGTGTGTGATTGTGAATGATGAATAATAGATGAATTTAGGCTACACTGTATGAGATAAAGGTACCCAAAAAAAAAAAAAAACTGGGTTAAAAAAAACAAAAATAGATTTTGTCCCAAAACAAAGTGGTAATTACCTTTGTCATACCATGCCAACCAAAATATTTGGCAATACCGAACTTCGGTATACCGAAAGTTTGGTACGATAATGATAATAGATTTTGTCAAACCGAAAATTTGGTACGGTAATTGGTACGAAGGTTTCGGTACGGTAACCGTACCGAACCCACCCCTAGTTTTAAGTGGTGTCACATGGAATTTGTAGTTGAAAGGGTAAAGGACATTTACTTATGCATTCAAGGTATTAAATTCTATTTCCTCCTTTGCAAATTATGTGTTGTGTGTCATTAATGAAAAATAAATACGTTAATTAACATTTAAATAATAATTCAACATCAACAATCACGTCATATGAGTTACAAAATATGGTTTAACTGGATATTTTCAATATGGTTACACTATCGGTATTGGTTTTGATACCAATACCAATGCCAATACCAATACCAATACCATACTACATATTTTTAATTTCTATACAAGTATCATATACTAATGTTTGATACAAAATTAATACAGTAGAATAACAAAAATTCCACCATGCTGGTGGAGAAATTATAGTCTAGTATCGTGTGGACGTGGCATTGCCAAATGATGGTACTCACTAATCAGATACTGACATGTGGAGGAGTGATAAAATGAACAATTAATATTTTATTAAAAATTTCATTAACTGTCCCTAAATAAAGAATAATTCTTTCACTTTGTCCCCTTCCTTCGTCCTCCTCCCTACCCCTCCGTTACTCCCTTCTCTGCCATTTCCTTTATCTGCCATATATTCAACTTATTTACCCTTGGCTTAAATATTTACTTTGTTCAAACAAAATCAAAATCTTAAAATAAAATTAATTCCAATTCTGCAGCCATGGCTGCCGGCTGTTGGAAATCAGTGGACAAGATAGAGGAGGAGCGCAGCATTTGCAGGAAATCAGTAGACAGGATGAACTTGTCGTCCGAATAGACCACATGGGCTTGCTGTCTGAGCGCAGCCTTAGGGCGAAGGCCTCGACCATGGCAAGCGAGACGACAATGCGAGCCTCGTGAGTGCTAATTAGAGTTTATCTTTGGGCTTAATTTTTTGATATGATTCTTCTTACCAAGGAAGAAAATATATAATGTACAACAGTGATTAACAAGGAAAGAAAAAAACATCAAATAACCTAATTACAATCTGATTACAAG